GAAGTATCCCACAGAAGTTAAATGGCAATTCTTCCGAGTCATAGCCTGCAAAAGCCACCTTTCTGATATTCAGTTGAAAGACTGCTTTTGCTTTGTTTAACCACTTTAATCAATTCATATTCTTCTGCTAATATTGGCGCTTTAAACTAGAAATACATAAGATGTGCCTAAGCAGCCATTTTCAGTTTAAGGTATGAAAGACAATGACACCTCAGCATATAAGAAGAGCTGTCTAAGCATTTCCAAAAGGCAGATAAATAGAGAGGGAGTGTGTGTGTGGTGGTGGTGTGGTTTTTGTTTTTTTTTTTGTTTGTTTTTGTATCGGGGAAAGTTGTTTGAGGCTTTTTGTTGCTGTTGCTTTTTGGTTTTTTGTTTTGTTGTTGTTTTTTTTTTAAACTACAATTTGCTAAAGCAGCTTGTCTGGAACAGGAGCAGTCACCAGACTAGACCAGCACAAATGCCAGCTCTAGCTGGCCAGAGTAAGTTTTTTTGGCCCATGCCTTGTTCTGTGCTGCCCTCACGGACACCAGAAATCCGCTCATCATGCAACCAAATATGAACATCCAGTCACATAATCAGATACATCCCTCCTCCCTTGTGTCACACCTAGCTGTTCTCCCACCCACAAAAACACTGTGTTTCATTTACAGGATTAATAGAAAAATAGAAACCACCCCGCCCGCCCCCTTCTGAATTAGGAAGCTGGATCAAGTCAATTTGAAGCCATGCTGTTACTAGATAAGATGCAGGTAGGAAAGCATCCGTGGCAACAAGACAGAGGTAAGGTGGAAAGTTAAGTCACTCTGCATGACTCATTAGATGCTTTGTGAAACTGGGTCCTTGATTAGTCATGCAATGGAGAGACAGGGCAGCATGGAGTGTTTTATCCTTCCAGAAGACAGCTGTCTCATGCTACTTGTATTATTTGACACCAGTCACCTCAACCTTCTCCACAAAACTTACTCCCCTCCCACACACATCCTTTAAAGGAAAAACAGCAGTTCTTATCTAGAATAATTATAATAATAAATGGTATCAGGTATGTGTATTACAACAAGGGAGTAAGAATATAGATCACCGTCTATGCCTTTCTGTGAGAACATACAAGGCATCTCCCCAGAATCTCTCTTGAGAAACTATCTAGTCTTGCTTAGGACACAAGCTCATTTCCCTTTAGCAACTCCAAAGTGAACTCACTGGCCACAGCTTAGAAATGCAAAGAGGAAAGACAGGAATAGACTGCCAATTTATAGGTTAGTAACTCATAACAGGAGCCACGACATTTGGCAGAAATTTGAACAAGGTTGTCTGAACCGCAGTTAAATTTCAGCATCTGCCCCCCTGCTTTGAACATCATTGCTCTGCATGTAAAAGCTGAAATCTTTCCTAAATACCTAAAAAGGTATTTAAAAAGCTTATTTACTATTACCTATTTTCTTTAAAGGGAAAGGCTAGATCCTGTTGGTAAACAACTGGTTGCACAGCTGGTGTCAGCAACAGGGACTTGTATTTCACAAACATGGGACTGGCTTTTGTTATCAAGGACTGATTTCTAAGAAAAGGTGGGATCCACTTCACCAAGCACAACAAAAACCTCTTCATCAATCAGCTGACCAAATGCAGAGCTAAAGTATCTTTGCCAATAGGCTGGCCAAGACAGCAAGGTATGAGCAATTCAGGAAGTTTATGGCATGTACTGATGATAACTTAAGATGGGTGACTGAGGACCCAACAAGGGAACCTTCTAGGCCTCATACTTACAAACAAGGAAGAGCTGGTCAGAGGTGTGAAGGTCAGGAGCAGCCTTGGCTGCAGTGACCATGACTGATGGAATTCAGGATCCTGTGAAGAAAGAGCAGGGCAAAAAGTGGGATCGCAACCCCAGACTTCAGGAGAGCAGACTTTGTTCAGGAGATTCTCATGCGATATGACCCTGGAGACAAAAGGGGCAAAGGAGGGCTGGTTGATTTTCAAGGATCACCTCCACCAACCCCAAGATTAGTCCACCCTGATGTGCAGGAAGCTGGGCCAAGGTGACAGGACAAGAATCTTCCTCAGCAACGGAGCACTGAACTGTGATATTCCCAAGCTGCTGGGCCCTAATGGGGTGCACTCAAGAGTGTTGAGGGAGTCCGCTAGTGACATCACACGGCCGCTCTTGTTAATCTTAGACAGGTTGTGGTGAATGGGGGTGTTTCTAAGGACTAGAGAAGAGTAAATATCCCTTCTATCTTGAAGGAAGGCAGGAAGAATTAACTCAGGGAACTACAGGCTGGTCAAACTCACTTTGATTCCTGCTAATGCTCCTGGAAGCCCTTTCCTAATAAATTATGTAGATTGGGTGAAGGTGATTTTGAACAGTCAGCATGAATTTATGAAGGAAAAATACACCTGACCAACCTCATGGCCTTCTATGGTGAAATGGCTGGCTCTGTGGATTAGGAGAGCAGTGGATGCTGTTTTTACTGTGGCTTTAACAAAGCTTTTGACACCGTCTCTTGTAACATCCTCACTGCCAAACTAACAAAGTAAGGGCAAGATAAGGGGACAGAGAGGCAGACTGAGATCTGGCTGACCTGCTGGACTCAGAGGGTTATGATCAGAGCCTAAAGCCCAAGTAGAAGCCAGCACTGGTGTACCCAGGGATTAATACTGGGACAAGCATTGCTTAACATCTTCGTTAACGCTAGATAAAGGGACAGACTGCACCCTCAGCAAGATTGCAGAGGATGAGTAACCAGGAAGGGCAGTACACCAGATGGGTGCTCTGCCATTCAGAGGAACCCTGGCAGGGTGGAGAAACAGCCCAGCAGGTACCTCAGGAAGTTCAACAGAAGGAAATACCAACCTTGCACCTAGGAACGACTAACACCACACATCAGTACAGGTTGAGGGCAAACCAACTAGAAAGCACCTCTACAGAGAAGGACCTTGGGGTTCTGCTGAACACTGGACTGACTATGAGCCAGCAATGTGCATTTTCAGCACAGAAGACCAACAGCCTCCAGGGATTAGGGAAGTGTTGCCAACAGATCAAGGGAGGTGATCCATCCTCTTGCTCAGCCTTGGTGAGACATCTGGAGTGCCAGGTTGAGTTCTGGGCTCCCTAGTATAAAACAGGCATGGACAATACTGGAGAGAGTCAAGTGAAGGACAATGAAGTTAATCAAGGGTCTGGAGCACCTGCCATTCAGGGAGAGGCTGAGAGCAGGGACAGGGGAAGGCTCAGGAAAATCTTATCCATTTGTATGAACACCTGATGGAGTGAATAAAGAGAACAGGAACTTTCTCACTGGTGTCCAGTGACAGTACAAAACACAATGGGCACAAACTGGAACACAAGAAATAGTGTTTAAACATAAAAAAATACCTTCCTTACAGCGAGGGCATTCAAACATTGGCCTACAGAATAGGTCAAGCCTCCATCCTTGGAGATGTTTGAAATCCAATTTGACATGGCCTTGAACTGACACTGGTCTGTGCAGGGGACTGGACTAGAAGATCTCCAGAGGTCCCTTCCAAACTTAATGATTCTGTGATTATATTTGGTAGAAGACATGTTAATTTAATTCTTGGACACAAAAAGACTGCTGTATTAATAGATCTGATCTGTTTAAAGGTCCTGTAGCATGCATAGCTTGCATTCATATTTTGCTCATTTTACGTAGGTGCTCAAGAAAGCAAACTGAGCATAGGGGTCCTGAATATTTATGCTAATACTGAATGAACATTAAGGAAAGGTGACTGATCTGGAGCTACTTCTGGAATGTGTTCAGTGCAGTCTGTGGAAGAAGTCGAACCTAAGTCTACTCACAAAGTCTGAGCTCTGCTAACTAGCTAACATTTACACAACTGTTTTGGATTTATATGTCAAATACAATATACACTCATTTTACAGTCTCTGGATAATTTCTTGGTTTAGTACCAAAATAGTGTTTGTTCAACTGGACATACTTCCTTGCCAGCTCAAATTGAACAAGATTAGGAATGACACATCAGGTAGAAAGAATTCTCAGGAACACCGATTTACAAAGAAGTAATATCCTTTCTTCATTGGCTAACACATGTACTTAAATAAACAAAACCAATAATATGGGCATAAATGAAAGCTGCATTTAAATTTAATTTGAAAAAGCCTCATTTAAAGGTAATTGACTTGATTACGAACTACGAAACTCTGGGCCTTTAGCCCAGAAATGAACTTATATTAACTAAGCTAATGAAAACCACATTAAGACTAAAATTTACCTTCTAAATCATGGTGCTAGTAATCAGATATTCCTTATGAGTTACCCAATTAGTTACTAATCAATTTGTCATTTAATCATTTCTATAGCCATTAAAAAAACTATCTCAGTATGTCTCTCTGCCATTTCCTTCTATCTCTAATCACCTATGAAGCATGAATATCCCGCCTCCCCAGAGACAAGTTTCTTGCTATGCACCTACATAACTGGGGTCAGGATGGCTGAATGCTGGAGGTAAATGTGTTATCTGTGGGCATGTAAATGAAAGTCTAGAATATAGCAATTTCAGGAATTAATGGCAATAAAACCTAACTCCAAATCTGATAACCAAGACCAATTTTACAGACAGATCAGTTACTGTAAGCCTACCAAGGAGAAGTATTCCTTAAGCCACTTAATTCTAAATCACTCTTTTAAGGAATCTTAGATTTGCTTTAACCTCTTGTATGTAACTGGATACAGCAATTGACCATAGCACTGGTTCTTATAAAAAATTAAGTATTAGACCAGCAGCAGGAAGGAAAGATTTGACAGTTGCCTACAAATGGACAATGGCATTAACCTATGGCTGTTCTAACTGCAAGTATAGATTACTGGACTCTTACAGACCTCTAGCCTGATTACAAGATTGGCATACTGTGTTGTCAACGAAGACACTTGCGAGAGAGGTAATTATACCATTCAGCGCTTGAATGGGACAAAATCATTCTGCTTCCATTTAAATATAAAAGCAAAAGCTTAATGGTCACATACCTCATTGCAACATTGCTGCCATCAATAACTATGGGCCTCAGGTTGTCACCATCTTCTGTCACATCCTCCTGCAATGGAGACTCTGACCTCTGAGACTCTATGGAAGACGCTTCACGCATTACACTAGTGTTAGCATTAGTTACAGTCTGATCAGTCTCAGTTTTATTCCCAAGTTTGACAAGTTCTCCCAAAATATCATTTATTAAAGCATCAGTACCAAGTTTATTTAGTACAAGTTGAACCTGTTCTTCAGAGTAACCCAACTTAAGTGCAAACTCCAGTTTGGTTTGATATTCTTTGACCACATCAGGGTTTTTTTTTACTTCCTTAGGTACTATCTGGGCCTCTTCTATCCTAAAGTCTTGCAAGATTTCATTTCTTTTTAGTATATGAGGCTCTAGGCAAGGAGATCGGCACACCAGTCGGTGAGTCTTAGGCAATAAATGTGATTCTGATGCAGAGTTATTCAGTCTCTCTGAATCATTATCAGAATTTGTGCCTTCTTCAGAGTCACAGCTGGAACTTCCAAAAGTCTCTTCAGATGCCTCCTTGTCCACATCTTCTTTCCTAGAATTAACCTTATCCATAGTCGGCTTCTCCACCATTGACCAAGGTACAATTGCATTTATTTGTGTGCCAGTGTTCCCCACATAAAGGTGGCCTAAGTCATGCCCCAGATGATCCTTCAAGCCCATGAAGCTGCTGCATGTACTTGACTCCACTTTGTTGTTTTTCTTGTATTCCTGAATATAAAGTGTTCCGTATTCCTGAAGAGAGAACAGAAACATTGCAACTGGTTACTCATATTGCTTGTTTTGTGTTTTGTTGCTGATTCCTCAGAACTGCATTTATTCCCTTCCAGCTGAGAAATGTGGCTTTTTTTACGAAAAACTTTTCCTAAGGAACATCCATAGCTAAGGGGATAAACAACTGATCATTTTTTTTCTGTGTGTATCAAATGCTTTTACTTAAACATTTTTAGAAACGGATTTATGAAAGAATAGAAAACCAAAGACTGCAAGTTTACCTCCTGTAACGCAGACAGAAGCATGTCACAACTTAGAGGAACTGAGATATTTCTTCTAGCTGAAGACAGTATTGTAAGAATTAAAAAAAAAATTATAAAAAATCAACTATAAAATACAGGTACTGTAAAAGCATTTTTAACTAAACACCAACTCTGTTGAACAGAGAATAGGCATAGTACTAGATCAGCAGGCTTATGAGGCAAACATAAGACATTATAACACATAAAATGAATTAGTAACAGAAAATATGATTAAATTAAAACTTACTAGCCCTAAAAGACACTAGCAGTTCAACTGAATACACTCAAAACTATCTCTGAATTCCCTTATAAAGTGATAATTAGGTCAAGAAAGACTAATTGCACTCAACAGGGCACCGCATTAGTAACACACACAGCACTTAAGAGACATGGATTGATCTAACGGCAAATAAAGCAAATGAAAGTCTTTGCACTGATTTTAACAGACCATTTGTCAAACCAACAAGGCAACAAAATTAAAAGCTGATTTAAACTCTCAGACTAGACTTGTACAAGCCTTTTGCTGAATCAAAACTATATATAGATAGAAGTCATGTAGGAAGAACAGAAGAAGAAAAGTTGCCATTTTCTGAACTTCATACACTTGCCACATCAGTTCTTCTGGAGGAATTTTGCATAACGGTAGTTATATACAGAAGTTAAGTACCCATTTCATCACAAGGATTACTTCCACAACTTACATTTAAAGGCAGATTGCTACCTCTTTCCCTTTTGTTCTTTTAAACAGGAATCTTTGCTAACTGCTTCAACAAAGAAAGTAAAAGATAAATGATTTCTCATAGATAAAAATGGACCATATGGAACAAATGTACTGCAAGGTTACCATGAAAATGAAGAATTTATATTAAGGGAAAACTATGGAACAAAGAGTTCTTTTACACTTCCATCTTGCAAGGCAGAATATTAAAGTAAGATACAGAGTCAAAGGACTTCACTTGAACTTGCAGACACAAACTTCATCAAGGACGATATACCAAGAAAAAATACTATGTCAAGCAGAATCTCTTGATCTATACTAACAAATAACAGGTATGTCTTAGGAACAGCCAACATCTGTCAGCAAGTTCATCAACACTCCCATCCCCTTTATGTTAGCATATAAGAATGACCCAGTATTTTTAAAATACAGTGTAGTTTCCTCTTCTTGGAATAAGGATCTGAGAGTGCCCACACAAGAAATAAATCCAGGGGCAAGACCAGAGAGAATCAAGAAAAGAAATCAGTCTGTGGTTCAGTAAAAGCAGACTTCATTGGCACTGACTGCTGAGGTACCACTGCTGTGGTGGAGCATTTTAGCTATGGGGCACAAAAACTTACTTTACCTAAGCTTTTCTAGTTCAGCTAAGTAAATCTATCATCAGTGTTTTCATCTCCAACACCTTAATCCAGGCAAAACTCAACAGAAAGAAAATACTCTAAAGTTTTATTTAGATCTGACCTTGTTAGAAGGCAGCAGAGCTGTAGTTCATATGTATATCAATGAATACCACTTTCTCTTAACTCAAAGCTTGAAGATTTCAAGTAACACCACAGATTATAAACAACAAGAATTTAGGAAATGAACCTTTTCACACAGTGATTTATTAACTAACATAATGCACTTGATAGCACAGTGCTAACAGCAAATCACAACAATATCCCAATAAAAGGATACAGCTAAATAACCAACACTGTGGCCTTCACAGCACTGTCACCAACAAAAAAAAAAAAAAAAATCTCAAACAAGAAATCCCTATTGGAAGCAAGGCTGCTTAGCAACCAGCCTGTAGTTGCTAGGATGCGCTCCTTTAACATACCATCATGAATACTAGCACAGCAAAAGAATAATTTGGTATGAACAAAAGCCCATGAAAGAGAGCGGGACTTAAGTGCGTCTGGCTTCCCCTCAGAGAACAATGCAGCTGCCAAACCGATCTGGAAGCCCCGACATCATTGTTCCACCAACCCCACAATCTGCTCTGACTCGAGGAAGTCTAGTTAATGGGCAACACTTTTAAGCTGGACTGAAAAGTTGAGCTGGCTCATGTACCACTGCCACAGAATACAAGGAGATAATGGGTCACTGCCTAAATCCGTGTACTGTGAAATGTCATTTTAGTATTGAAGTGAAAGTAGAGGGAGGGTTTTTTTTGGAAGGGGGGAAGAGGAGGTTGCATATTAACAGCATAGAATAAACAAAGCTTGAAGTGCATTGACAGAAAGAGGATTTTTTTTTAGTGTTAGTTAAAATAATACATAAGTCATTCTTCAGTCACTTCTTCCTTGATGTTTAAGTGCTGTTCAGCAACTACAACTGCAACACCCTCCACCTCTGAATCCACCCAGGGATTCAAAGAAGTTGCTAGCATATTAATTTGTCTGAAGATCAGGCATTACGTGAAACATAGTTTAGATGATCGGCATATCAACTGCATAGTAAAAGTGACTGTAAACTGAGCTTTGTTCATTGTTGGGAATGTATAAGTAATCAGCCTCACAGCTATCTATTAAGTCTCCTGTCAATCTCTATCTTGCTCTAATATATAATTGCTTCTTTTGTACAGAACTCTACTTTTTTTCTGAAACTATGTAAAGAATAGGGTAATAAGGGCATCAGCTTTAAAATCTGCCACAGTATACAGTCACCATGCTATTGCTTTAAAAGCGTAGTTGAAATGATGTTTACACTTGTAAATCCAAAGCTAAAGATTTCTGAAATAGTTTTGCATGAGCAGTACCCTATTCCTGGCATCTGGCCTAAACCCTGCATTCAAACTGCATTTATTTTCAGCCAAATTTTTAGAATGTCTGTGAACTTTGTACACCATATGGATCTCTTAAAAATGCTAGACTTTGGAGCTCCCAGCACGATGTCCTTTATGAGATTCATTGATTAGAACCATGAAAATCAAATGTCACTGTTGAACACTGTTGGAATTGATTATTTTATCTTGATTTGGTTAGGGAAGAGCAACATGCCAGCCAGTCTATTTGAATTAATTTGTATCCCAAATAACCACTAGGGTACCTATATATAGGACAATGAAGAACATGAAAACCAGAAAAGGTCATATTTATCCAAGGAGCAACATCAGATAAGAACTCCTTGCACTCATTATTTACAAAGACTCTCATTACACACATATGGTTTTAAAATATACCATGCAATATAGCTTAGAAAAATATCTGCTATGAATTCCAACTCAAGTGAGAGCCAAACAAACATTAAAAAATCTGCTCGGGCAGACTTCAACCAGAAAATCATTGTTGAGAAAGTCTCCAACTTTTGGTTATGCTCAGCACAGCCAAGTAATAGAACATGTTTTTACGAAAAAATCAACAAAACTGTTAACTCCCAATTCAGACATATGTATGACTATGTTTTAAACTATATCCTGTTTAAAACTACAGTATCTCACACTAGGTTCACTGTTAAAGGCCTAAAATACTGTATTACTGAGTCAAAGACATTTATAAAGTATAAATGTAATACTCTTGGTGAGCACTGTACTACTCCATTGTGGAAATGTAATCTTTTCCCATTTCTTAGAAGTCACCATTATTTTCCACTAACCATTAATCAGCCCATTAATTCACCTTTGCACAAACCAGAAATATTTCTCAAAGGGATGTGGGCAAGTACATCATCTAATCTTTTAATATTCAGAATATTTTCCACTTACAACTGAGCATAAGAAAAGCAATTTAATGCAAATTTAGTTCACAGAGGAAAATAACGAAGAGTGAAACAGTGTCATATGGCACAGTGTAACAGAGCTTGTGTATTCTCAAAAGACTGTCAAGTTTCCAAAGATACATTCTACAGTGAAATAGTTCAGCCCAATTTCACACAGGCAGACTTTTTCTGAGTCTTCTAAACACATAATGTAAAATATTGAAATCACAGTTTGTTGAAACACTGGTGTTACTTGTCACAAATAGAAGTGCAGAGCTGATCAGAAAATTAAAAAACCTGATTGTATCTGTTATCCAAATGATAGAGATACTCTAACAATGCAAATAAAATAATGAATATGTAATAAATGCCTACTGCTGTAGTTTCTATGTATTTAATTACCATTGAATTTCAGCGAGTGCTGTTGTCTGCATCATTCTATCCAACAAAGGAAGGATGTCCCATTGAACAGATTGGTTAATGCTCTGGGGCAACAGATGTCTACTGGAACTGCAGGAGACCAGCAACTGGTGGCCTGCCCATCTTCTGAAAACTTTCAATAGACTCATGCATATGTTCACACAATAGGGCATGTGGTAGAAATGCAAACCTCTTTTTAACCCTTTTATATGCTCTCTTTCCCTCCCAATTCATATATGAAGGTCTTTGTTTTGGGGTTTGGTTGTTTTTTTTTTTCCTTTACAGGATTCTTGGAACACAGGCTCCTGGAGTATACAGTGTTTGTTCTTCAGCCTAACATCTGAATTCAAAATATAAAGCAGATTAGAGAGTTTAGAAAAATAGCCAGCCTAGATCTGACACACTTAAGAATAGCTTTCAAAGCACAAAATATCTGACTGGAACATGTTCCCATCCAACAGCATCCTCATGCTCTATTTTGCAGTACAGTATCTTCAGATAGCCTGCAATGGAGCTCTTCCTATTTTCACAAACACTGGAGATTGCACACATTCTATGGTACCACGTAAAAGACATTTGATTTTCTTTTTTTTAAAGCTTTTTCTACCAGTCGCAAATCAATG